ACATTGTTATTTTCTTTATGTTTTGATGCATACTAACATCACTAATGTTCTTCTAAGGTATAATAACGCATGATTGAACCATATCATGGCCCTCATAACGACTGGACAAGGGTTTTCCATATTCACACCGTTTTAAGTTGTCTTCTTTATATCTCATAATATAGCATGATTTGGCCAAAACTAATATTTTCATTGAAATCGCAAGGCCCAAATTAGGGGGTAGGGTCCCTGGGAATCACTAACACTCTTTGTTTTTGCAGGTTGAAAAACGTACTCACCGGAGAAGACGACCGGAGCTAGGGCTCCGGCGCTTCTCTGGCCCAGATATTTGAGTTTGTGTTATGTTTATTTGTTTCCAGTTAGGTACTGGATAAAACAGTCACCCCAGTGGCAAGCGCGTGCATCATAGGGCATTCGTATACCAGGGCGTAGGTTCGATCCTGCCTTTTGACATTTTATTTTTTTCATATTTTCCAATCTTTTTACAGGTTTGATACATGTTGTGTTGCATGCATCCTACCAATACAAACCAACGCCTGGTGTAGTGGCAAGGCAGACAGTGGAAAGGGTTAAGGGCGTGGGTTCAACATCCACCCCTGACACTTTTATGTTTTTCTCTATTTTCTAACCTTGTTTGTCATTTTCCCTTAAATCCTATTATTTGGAAAATTTAACCTAATTTTTCACTTAACCCTTAACAACAAAACCTTTTTCACAAACCATAATTAATTAGGTTTTAGGTTTTTTTTATTAATTTAATTAATTAACTTTTTTATTAATTAAAATTAATTATCTTTTTTTAGGTTTATTTTAATCATCATCAAAAATCTTTTTCATAAAAATCGCCAAAAAAAAACATTTAGTTTTCCTCTTCCTTTTTTCTTACTTTATTTTCATAGATAAATTGTATAGGATGATTATCGCGAATGTAATAGTGTAGCTTTTATCTTCCCACATTTTTATTATCATGTAACTGTTTCGGGATGTAATAGTTTAGAGTTTTATTTTCCGCACTTTACTATTATGTAATTGTCCCAAAGTCATGTAATAGCGTAGGAACTTTACTTTCTGCACTTTACTTTTTTATACTTACTATACTACTGCTTAGTAATTAGGGTTGTATGGTAAGATAAAAACCCAATTGATAGATAACATAAGTTCAAGACTAAAATAACTGAAATTAATACACTCGCATACTTGCACCTTTAGGGTAACCTCTTTGTGTTGCCTTCGGAACAAAACAATCATGTCCCTCGAAAGTATAGATGATTTAGAAAATTCCCTCGAATCAAAGATCATAGTCCCTCGATGACCCTTCGATGTTACCTTTCAATAAATGATCTTGTCCCTTACGAAATTGCTAAAGCGTCTTTACTAGTTGCCTTCGATGACCGAACGATGGCCATTCGCCTGTCACTTCACATCCAACGATAGGACTTCCTGATAACTAATGGTACGGATAGCACTATCTAAAGGAGAAGTAAAAGTACAAGAGTGACCTTGAATGGGTAGAACTTTTAATCGCTTGCTCACAAAACTCTTCAAAACAAAATATTTCACAAACACTTTCAAAGATATTTTCAAAATCCTTTGTATACACTCTTGAGGACCGATACAAGAGTTATTACAAAGTTCGCCTGACATTGACAATGTTTAAAATATTTTCAAGCACACACACAAAGCAAGTTTTCAAAAGTGAGCTAAGCGATTAAGAGCCTGTAGATAACTATAGATGAAAAGGATGCTAACACCTTCCCTTTTCATAATCTACCCCCCGAAATCAAAATCTATCAAGGTCTTTCTTGTTCTTTTCACCCTTTTCTTATTGGATAAAAGAAAAGTTGGTGGCGACTCTTGCTATCCGCAACATTTGTGATAAAATGCAAAAACAAGTCAGTTCTCCCATCGTATTAAAGAACTGTCGACTCTGTTGGGGAATACTTAAAGAGGGGTTACCTTAGAGCTTAGATCAATTTAATTGTTCTAAATTGTCTGCTTTATTTTCTTTATCTTTGAGGGTTGCTTGGGTTTTAATTTCTTGCAAAGATCCTACACCCGGATCTAGGAATGCCTTAGGTAAGTAGCAATAGATCATGGAAATTGTATGGCATAGACCGATATGGTTGAAGTGATGGCTACGTTAGTGTGACACTTTGGTTTATACCGATGTTCCTTGAGTCAGTAGAGGATAACATTGGGTTGTCGCATGGTGTCATAAGCATTAACTGACTTTTAGAATCTTAATTGACTCATCTTTGCCATTAGAAGGTAGTGAGATAGTCGGATTTGGTGTAGTTCAAGGTTGGTTGATACTCGATGCTACGCTCATTGAGATTCGAATTTCGAGATATTTTGGTGGCAAGTCAGTTGTTATGCTGAAATAAAACCTACGAGAAAGATCAGTGATATGAGACTCCTAGAACCCGGTTACTTTCTAGGACAGGTTGAGCCAACTTGACTTTTATAGAAAAGGGTACTTACCTACAGACCTCATGCAAGCCTTTAAACCTAAGGCTCTTGTGTGCTTTGTTTTTATTTTCTATTTGTTCAAACATGACATCATGACATCATGACATCATAACATCACATTTTCACTAACCATTTCAAGGATTTCAGGGACCTGTGACGCAAGTTTATCACGAACCAGACTTTTAGCAAGGGGTAAGAGGATTTATTTTCCTCTAACCAGATGTCGTCAAAGACCGAAGTACATTCTCTTGAGTCAAAGGCTAGGACCCACTTGACATGGTGAGCTTGATTCTTATAGAAGGACGTTCAAAGGCGCAAGGTTCTTCAGTCAAAGCTGCAGCCAAATTCAACTTCTAACATTTCATTTTTGTTTATCCCGCGAGATCCTTGAAAACATTGTATGTGCATCCACATACCATACACATCATATCATAGTAAGTATTTCCCAAGACAAGTTTTATCATCTTCTTGCTGTTTATTTCAATAAAAGATGGCTCTCGAATAAACCATCAAAGAACTTCAGGCCCAGAATGCTCAGTTTCAACAAATGTTCATGGACTTAGCCAAGGGGCAAGACGAGCTGAAGACCCTCATCACCAAAGGGAAGAAGAAAAAGACCAGAAGACCAGTCGGCATCTTCAACATGGGAAGAAGGTTCAAAGGTTCTCCCAAGCAAGCTCAAGACTATGATGTTCCCTCAGGCGAAGACGATAATCAGGGTGAAGACAGTAAGAATGTGAAGGCTGAGTGATGAAGTAACCTTAGTTCTGGCCAATATTCTGATGTTGAGGAAGAAGACTATTCTGCTGAACAATATCCTCCTGCTGATGAAAAATACAAATAGCTGGAAGATCATCTCAATGCTATGGAAATTCATAGAGTAACTGGGTTGGATTTTCAAGATCTGGGATTAGTCTCGGGTGTTGTTATCACTCATAAATTCAAGATCCCTACTTTTGCAAAGTATGACATTGTTTCCTATCCAAAGCTTCATTTAAGGTCTTACGTTCGGAAGATCCAACTCCACACCGCTGACAGGAAGTTATGGGTACATTTCTTTCAAGAGAACCTGTCAGGAACACAGTTAGAATGGTTCTATCAACTGGAAGGAACCAATATTCGTACTTGGGAAGATTTGGCTGCTGCTTTTTACAAACAATACCAATACAATGCTGATCTTGCATCAACCTGTGTGCAATTATAAAGTATGACTATGGGCTCGAACGAAAGCTTTAAGGAGTATGCCCAAAAATGGAGAGATCTAGTTGAAAGAGTTCAACCTCTTTTGTCTGATATGTCCTCCGGGGACAACCTCACCACATGACTGACGAAGAGGATCAACGGTACTCAGGAGGTCCTCGCGGGCACCCTTCCCGTAGGGCAGACACCCAACACCTCTGAATATCAGAGTTATCTTGACTCTGAAAAGACCGCATCCACGTCCTCCTGATAATTCGGAGGAGCCCATTCAGGTTGGAGACCACGTATTGGCTTCCACTACACACGTATGACCTGACAGTCTCCATTTTGGGTCTGCTTGGTCAGCCTAACAATGGAGACATTGGCCCAACGCTGGGGGTTATAAATATCTTCTCATTTGAGAGGGTCAGATATTCATTCATTCACCCATGCTCTGGCGTTTTACTTGCACTTACTTTGAACCTTACTTTAACATCGGAGTGTCTTGCTGGTACTTCACCCACTTCACATTCGATCACTGCTCGAGTCAAAGCTCGTGGGCCTTGACGATCCCTTCTGAACAGGAAAGATCAATATGAAAAATCATTTTTTTATCAAATGGTCTTAATATTAAGAGTTCAAACTCACTCTGCTGCACCTAATGTCTTTTGCACAACTATCAACTTTAATGATTTAATGAATTGAAAAACATGTTTAATTCAAAAATAAATATTAAAAGCACAATGTATATTAACTTAATTTAAATCATGAACTTTAATATATTAAAACAAAATACACATTTAACGCTAAAATTTAAGTAAAATTTCGTCTAAATAGTTTTTTATCTCATTATTTTCTTTTCTCTTTCCAACAAATATTATTTAATATATTAATTAATATTTAATATTAATTACTGTAACTCATTACTTCACCATTAATTTCTATATACTTTATTTAACTATTCAATTAACAAAAATCTAATAAAAAATTTCCAACATTTAATATATTATTCATAACTTGTTCTGTACATCGCAAGAAGTGAAAATAAAAATAAAGTCAATAAACAATACCAACATTTTCAATTTTTAATTTTACATTACATAGTCATAGACAGTCAAACATTACCGGTGGCGCAGGTAACCGGTTCATAAACCTCTTTCTAACCTCAAAAGTCTTTTGTTTTTTCTTTCATTCTCTTATTGAGTCTTTGAACTGTACGGAACAGTTTCCTGGGTTCTCTGAGTTATCATCTTTATTGTCTCTGATCCAACCAAAAATCTCAACTTTCTTCAACAATTCACCTCTACAAATTTTGGGCTGTGCCTATTTTCTCAATCTTTGTTCACTATCAGATGTCAACAGTGAGTTCCTTCTCTTTTCTCTCTCCTCTTTGTCAATTCTTTTGATCCATGTTTTTGGGCACTTTTATGCTGATACAATTTTAGGAAAAGGGTTGAGAGCTTTAGTTTCAAATCTCTTGCATTATGCTGTAATTTTTTGTTTTTTCCCCTTTCAATCTCTTGATTATTTTCTTGATGACTTTATTATAGATATAGTTGACCAAAAATTTTGAGTTTGGTTGTTCCAAATTCCATATGCTATATTCATCTGCTGATAAACCAACCATAAGTAACTTATTTTGCTGCTTATTTGAACCATGATGAGGTTATTTCTATGGAACACCGACACCTTAGATTGAAACATGTGACTTACTATTTATAGTCTTTGAGGTGTAATAGTGTCGGCACTTGAAAATTCTTCACTATTAGTATTCATAGCTTTTAGAAAGGTATGTGCATGAAAGTAAAAATGGAAAAGTCTTATCTTTTGTTGTGAATTGATGAAAAACTGTTCTTACACGAAATCTACATGTTTTGGGAAGTCTCGAGGGAAATGAATGGCTGAATTGAATAGTGTATTTTGGGTAATATTTAGTTTTATTTTGGTTTTTGGATTTTTTTGGAATCAATCATAGAATGGTTCTCGGTGGGTAAATGGAGGAATATGCATAAATTAGTACCTTGTTATGTTATTTACCTATTATTAACTATGATTGTAGTACAAGAAGCATGTTTGTTAGCATTTCATACTTGTATTGTATTTTTAGGGCGACACCTGTCTGACTTTTTCGATATGTGTCATACAAGTGTCGGAAAGTGACATGTGTCAGACACCGCGACACACTTTCTCCTAGAGGTTTTCGTGCTTTATAGCTTGTACGAGGGTCTAGTTGTTGAAACTTTACTTAATAGGATCTCTTCATTGTGTCTCAATTTTACAGCAACGTTCTCATGTTCCAAAGTTTGGCAATTGGGAAGCTGAAAATGATGTTCCTTATACAGTGTATTTTGACAAAGCTCGGAAAACTCGACCTGGCACTAAAATGATCAATCCGAATGACCCTGAGGAAAATTCAGATTTAGATCTTCAAAATTCATCTTCTGCTGAGGTAATTCCTCCAAAACCAAGAGTTCACTCAGAGAATATATCTGAAAAAGGATCAGTGAGACCAGCACATAATGAGTTACAAAAGAACAAGGAGGACGGTGATCTTAAGCAATCTGTTAACTCGCCGGCTCGCCAAGAAAACTCAAACAGGAGTGCCGGCGATTCCGTCCACCGTCCTGGAGTTGGTTCTGCTGATAACCGCAGAAGACCTTCAAGACAAAGTACTGCTGGCTCGGAGTATAGTGTCGAACGTTCACCTCTTCATCGCCAGGCTAAAACCCCTGGCAGAGATAGTCCTTCTTGGGAAGGAAAGAACTCCTATGAGAACAGTCACGGTACACCAGGAAGATCTCGACTGAGATCAGTCAATCAAGAGGATGAAACTGTTAGTTTTCTTTTTTATTGTCTTGATCTATCACGTATTTCCTCCATTCCTTTTTAACTGTCTTTAAAAATAAATTGTTCCGATTTATTAGTCGATTTCAAAGTTCATGCAGCATTAACTATTGTTTTGTCAATAATTTATCTATTTACCTGGTTTGTGTATAACAACTTCAAACGACACTGAAAAAGGAACACGAACAGAGAGATTACATAAAATGTAAATATATTGCATCAACCATTGCAATTTTTTTTAGCCTTTAACTTCTGAATCTTAATCGAACTTCGCTTCACAAATGTTTTCTGAATCTTAGACTTTGATTTGGCAGCCTGATAAAAGTGCTACTGTTCCAAAGTTTGGTGAGTGGGATGAGAATGACCCTGCATCAGCTGATGGCTATACTCACATTTTCGACAAAGTGCGCAAGGAGAAACAAGACACAGCTGGAAATGCACCAGGCACACCCAACGGGAGATCGTATGTTATCCGAAACCAACCCGCAAATGACAAAGCTCAGGTATACTCGCAACACCTGTTCATTAAGACGTATTAAGTTGTGTCACCATATTGATGCTTCATCGTTTTTCTTTGTTCTCTTCTTTGCTTTTCCAGGGTTGCTGCTTTTTCTGGAGCAGAAAATGATTATTGAAAGTGCGAATATTATTCGAAAAGTCGTGAGGCGTGTATCACTCATATAATTTGACTCCTTTATAATGAGGGGTGTACTTTAAAGGGTAAAGTGCAGAATTATAACCATCATTGGTTGAGATTTTAGCAATTTGATAGTTTGTTATGCAGGTGCTAATATTTCGTTGCAGTTAATCCGTGCTTCACTCTTCAAAGTGCACCCATCGTTTTAGAGGATCTAAATTCTACTGTTTTATATGTAAATATCAAAGGCACTCTTTCCATGGGGTGAAACATTGTCGAAGTGCCTTTGTCTTGAATTTGCATCCCCCTGTATCTTCCTTTTCATTTGATCAGTAAGGTCTATTTGCACGTAAGATTGTGATCTTTTGTGTAAGTAACTGTCACGCTTTGAATTCAATTTATACGTATTTAGCTGAGATCTATGATATTTATTACATAATTCTTATATTATGACTTAATGATGTGTGATTCCAGTTCTATTGTGTTGTTCTTGATGCTGAACTTCTGTAGTTTAACTCAGAAATAGTCCAATTCAATGAAAGATAAAACTGTTTCAGAAGTGGATTTTTTTTTATTGGTCAATGAAGATCAAGTAGGTTCTTAGATGAGTTCATGATTTAAGTTGTTTTGTTAACGTTGAATCCTCCATGCCATTATTTTTTACACTTTATTGTTTGATGACTCAAGCACTTACTGTGCTAGATTCTGCTGCACTTGTAATGTACATTTCTTAGCATTTCTTGAAGAATGGTTCCATTAGAGTTCTTGAATGGTGGAAATTTTGCTCTAAAAAATCAATCATAATTGTAATCAAGAGCATTAGCCAAAAGCAATAGTTGTGTATGCAGAAAGCGGAAAAAAGTTACAACCAAGACCTAAACCTCCACAACCTTACTTGAACATGATATGTTTTATAGGCTCATACTACTGCGTCTTCGATTTCTAAAGAGATAAGTCTGGTGGATGAACCAAGACCATGTGATCAGAACGTGTTTAATGGCCAGGATGATCTGCATGTAGTCATCACCTCAGCTGTAGACGATTGGTTTTGGTTGGTTCTACTGACTGAGTGGTCACACGTGTTCTAATACAGGATAGACTCAAAAAAAGACCTAAGCCTCCTTACCAAAAACAGGATAGAACAGTTGTATGCCTGTAAAAACCTCTATTATGGTCAGTTCCAACCAATATTAGATTGTTTAATGAGTTCAGAAACTAGACTTGTTTTCTGTGATCAGCAAATTCACTTGTAAAATGAGTACAAAGAAAGTTTAGGAAATTCTTATCTCAAATGATAAGAAACTATGCAATTTTGTTGAAAGGATGAACTCAAAACTTGAAACTTCTGAAACTCACGATTGTTATTAAAAGAACGAAAATCATATAAGAGAAACAATGCAAATGGAGATCCAGAAGAATGGTGCATAATACTTGAAAGAGAAAAAACAGTTATTTTAATTACCAACAAAGACAGAAACACTGGTAAGCATAAGACCTGAAACATATTACTCTCAATCTCATGCCGAGTATTCTTGTAGAAAGGGAAAAACCCAGAAACAATTTCACATGATTCGACTTCAGACAACACCTGAACTTAACCAATCCACACTATCATGCTGCTATAATTGAAAAATAAAAATAAACTCTATAACAATAATCCATCTTCAACATCACATTCTAGCCCTGTCAATATATGTGGACTGAACCTCATCAGGGTTCTACTAACTGGGATGGTCAGTGTTCTGACAGACTCAAAATAAAACCCAAACCTCCACACCAATAAAGGGATAGCACAGTTGTATAACTACAAAAACCTCTATTATGGTCAATTCCAACAAAGATTAGATTGTTTAATGAGTTCAGAAACTAAACTTGTTTTCTGCAATCAGCAAATTCACTTTTAAAATGAATACAAAGAATTTTAGGAAAATCTTATCTCAAATGGTAAGAATCTATTCAATTTTGTTGAAGGGATGAGATCTAAACTTAAACTTCTAAAAACTCTATTTTATTAATAGAACAAAAATCATACAAGAATGCAAAGGGTGATCCAGAAAAAGGGTGTATCAAACTTGAAAGAGAACACTGGTAAGCACAAGATCTGAAGCATATTGCTCTCAATCTCATGCTGAGTAGTATTATTGTTGACCGAGAAACACCCAGAAACAATTTTCGCATGATTGGACTTCAGACTACACATGAACTAACTAATCCACATTATCATGCAATATTTGAAAAATAAAAATAAGCTCTACAACAATAATCCATCTTCAACATCACATTCTAGCTTTGTTAATTTGATATGTGAACCTAACTGAACCTTATCAGGTCAGAATTCACAATTTCAACATCAATTTGAAACTGTAATGTTAATATGTTTACATGAAAGTAACAAGTCAACAAATCAGAAAGTGAATGGGGTAAAAAAGTGTAAAAACTACAGTTTAAAGCACGGATACAATAAATCATAATACAACAAACTAAGATAAATGAGTTATCAGGCTCAACACAGCATCAAAGTTTCTCGGTCAACTTAACCATGAAAGAATTAAGAAATTTAGATTCTAACACAATCCAAGATGACTCAAACATCTCATGGAAAAACTCACTTTCAACGTCCTCAGCCGCACTTCTAAACGCAACCCCAAACGCATTCCCTTGAGCAGCAGCCAAACGAGGCCTCCCGCAAACCCCAACAATAAGAACTTTATTTGGATCCTGAGATACACAAGCACAAATCAAAGGCTTCATCCTCGCACCCTTTTCTCTCAAAGCATCCATTAGAAAATAACAAAACTTTGTCAAAGCTTGAGGGTACCCCAACAATTTAGAATCCGTCGAATCCTCAAGCTTCACCCATCGAAACTTCCTTCCACTTCTAATACAACCGCTCTTCATAATCGCGAGACTCCCCTGCCTCAATATCGATCTCTGAACCTTAATAGCTTGTTGCATCCCAGCTTTGAGTTTATCAACATTGTTCAACGAAAGAGCATCAAACGCCACATTGAACTGCATTGAAGCACAAGACCCATCTGAATTCACAAACGATTCCAACAGTGCAGTAACACCATAAACAACATCAGCAGCAGAAACTCTCGAACTATAACCATGAATCCGCAAAAAACCCCGATAATAAAGATCAGTAAGCCCATACTCAGGCAAAAACTTCTCAAACTCCCGCTTCATCTTTCTCTTTACCTCAACGTTCATATACTGAAACTTCTGCTGACAATCCGTAAGCGCAAACCCCATCCTCGCCAACAAAAGCTTCAACTTCTTCATTCCATTATCACTCCAAGTCTTCAACTTTGTAGCAATATATGAACTACAAAGCATCGAATCAAACAAATTCCACTCCTGCAACAGCATAAGCTTTGGCTCATCCTCATAAGCAATTCGCGAAGAATTCGGCGCCCTAATCTTCGTTCCATCCTTAAGCGTAACAGAATTCACCGCATCCAAATTACCCGAACTATTAATATACTGCTCCAACTCCATAACACCATCACTATACCTCTCATCACTCAGCCTCTCGTGCACGAATTGATCCGTCAACGCAACACAAGCTAACCAAAGCAATTCATCAGTATTCCTCCTCAGAAAATGAGCTAGCTCATACATCAAACACCCAGAAGGCTTCCCATGAAAAGTTCCCAATCCATAATACTCTCTCTTCCTCTTTCTATAGAGCTTAACCGCATCTTCATGTTTTTCTTCATCTTTCTCACCATCTTCAGAATCCCGTTTTCTTTTTCTTTTATTTCCCGATCCATTTTCTTCGTCCGAATCAGACTCGGAGTCAGAGTCCGAGTCCGAGTCAGACTCGGAATATGAGTCCGAGTCTGAATCAATAGTTGTAGAAGCATTAGCTAATGCGGTAAGCGGAAACTCGAAGTCATAAGCCAGATCTGCTTGTTTCTCATCTTCTTGAGTGAATAAAACAACGACGGCGTGGTTTTGGTCACTGAGATTATGAAGATGAATCGGACGGTGACTATCGATAACGAAGATACGAGCGTTTGGACCTAGTTTCAAGATTTTGCGAAGATCTTTGTGGCAGCCCCAGTTGATTAAAACGACGGAGATGGGACCGTCGTTTTGAGATGCAGTTGCGTAAGTGTGAATCTCGCTGAAGGAAGAAACAGGGTAAGAAGCGTATTGAATGGAATCGGATTCGAGGATTTTGAAAATGATTTTGAGTGCGCAGAGGGAATCGACATCGGAGGTTGAAGGGAAGATGAGGACGGGGGAGGAGGAGGAGGAGGAGTGGGCTGAGTGGCGGAGTTTGGCGTAGAACGAGTCGACTCGGTGTTCTCGAACCATAATAAGGATAATTGAGTGTGAGAATTTGTGAGAGAGAAAGTGGCTATGGTGGTGAGAGAGGAATTAGGTTAAGGGAATTGGGAAAAAAAAGTGAGGTTTTTGTTGCGGAGTTTGGGAAATTCGGTTTGGTTCTTTATGAAAATGGGAAAATTTGAAATTTTTGGAGGCGGGGTGTGAAATTTTGGCGGTTGTTTTGATTTTTTCGGGTGGGGATTTTGGATTTTGAACGAAAGTGTTTAGTTGACACGCGGGGATATTATTATTTGATGACTATGTTATGGTGTGGGGAGGCGTAGGGTAAGGGAAATTGTTGGATTGAGATATGGCTATAGATTTTTAAGATTATAACATTGAATCAAACCATATCATTTAAAAAGTGATATATTTTTAAGATTGTTAATAATTGTGGCATTTAGAATGGACAAGCACAATTTTTGTCAATCACTGTTACACTTTTAATTTTTTTATTGACTGTAAAATCGGTTGATATAAATTATTTTATTTTTATTAATATTATTAGTTATTAAAATAATAATATTCATTTATTTTAATAGATACTTTTAGATTTTTTATTATACATCATTATCTTCTTCAATACAAATTATTAAAATAGAAGAATAATGTAAATTTTCTTTAAACAATTTGACATATCATTAAAAAAGTTTTAAAATAAAAATAAGATATAATTAAATACATAATTGTGATTGATTAACAATTTAAAACTATTTTATATGGTGTGTGTCACTAATATTTCTTTTAAAAAATAAGTAACTCTTTTGTTAGATTCTTACCATTATTTTTTCTTTGCATCTAAATTTGTTTATATTTCATTAACAATAAAAAATTTAGATTTTTTCACTATTGAAAACTCATCAATGACAACGGTTTCTTTTCTAAAAAATTTAATTTCTTGTGCTCCTCACTCGAGATCTATACCAAATTTTTCATCTCTCTCATATTCATTCCAGATCTTTATTATGTAAAATTGCAAATAAAATCCCATATTTGTTGGGTGGGATCATAATTTTTTGGATCAGACTCTTTAATTTAAAATTCATATAATATTTTCTTAGAATTGTTAAAATTTATTATCAATATAAGAAAATTAATAGCCGATTTAATTACATTCATATCCTAATTATAATATTCATTACATCATTTTTTATGGACTTAATTGTGATTTGTATCTCTTAATAATCTCATTAAATCATACTTACAATATTAGCTATTAAAGAAACGGTCATTATGTCATTAATTCAATCCTGATTAATATTTACAAGATTCTTTGCATTCTTCAATTTACTGATATCACATTTTATACAAGATTGTAGTTGTTGAAGGTTTTGAACAACTATGATTTATTCCTAAAAGTCTTTACCGATGGATTGTGATCGTACCTGACCATAATGGATCGTTGATGGCCTGCAACACTTGACTTCTGTGATTGCTGAAGTGAATAGGGGGTACCTGCAAGGCACTCTGATGCCAAAGTGAGGTTCAGAGCGAAAGTGCAAGTAGAGTTAAAAGTAGAATAATGAATGTACCTGACACTCTGGGGAGAGAGGTTATTTATAGCCCCCATCGTTGGGCCAATGTCTCTATTTGGGCCAAGTGCCCGTGCCCAATATGGAGACTACTAGGATTCACGTGACTGAGGTAGGTCAGCATATGCCCATGATCCTGGGTCAAATGTCCCGCGATCATCAGGTAGTGGTGACAAATTCTTCCTGGAGGGCAAGAGGTCTCATGATATCAGGGGTAGTTGGCCACGTGCCCATAAAGGGGAACATGGGAGTTGTTGTACCCTAAAATTTGCCCTCTCATTTCTCAAGGATTCTCTCACAAGATCTTCTATGACGTCAAGTTTGCAGTATTGATACATCAATTTAGGCTTGGAGTTGGCACAAGGGCAAATCAGTCATTTGCACCCTGAAAAGTCAAACTTTGACTTTTGATCAAAATCAAGTTTCAAGAATCATATTTAATCAAGACGTGTTGAAATATGAAGTTTGTTTCATCAAAAAAATTCAAAAGTCAAAAATCTAAAATACTTAAAAAAATTCTAAGTGTTTAAGAAATATGACAAGCTCAGAACTTTTGATGGGTTATCACCTAGATGCAAGCTGGTTTTGGAAGAACTTCTAAAGCAAGAGTTTTAGATCTCAATAAGACCTAAAATATTGCAGAACAGAACTTCTCCTGGAAATGTTGAGATTTCAAGTTATAAATCCTCAAAGACACGTCCCTGAAACTGAAGCACTCAGCAAATTCTGAACACTTTCAAGACAGATTTTGGTTAGAACTTCTGGGCCAGTTTTCATGAACGTTCAGCCAGAGTTTGCAAAAGTAATTCAAAGAAAGTCTACAAAGAGTGTTACAAACTTTCAGAAAAGTCAGAGAACTCCTTCAGAACATGCTGGAGCGAAAAGATTAAAGGATCAGAAGTTGGATGTTTTGTTCTAAGTTGCATTGATGCTAAACTTCTAGCTCAGATCTAAGCTATGATGCACAATCTCATAGCGCAAGATTTATGGTTTGATAAATCTCATCATCATTTAATGCTCACAACCACTTTTGAGTTTTTATCCAAAGGATTTCCCCACGTGTGAGATAGAAGTACCATTGATGTCCTTGAAAAGCAAACTTTTGTACAATTTATGTTGGGCTCATGCTTTGCTTTTACCTCTGAGGGTACTTTTCCTTAATTCAGGCTTACAAATCCAGTTTAGGCACGACTAAAAGCTGCTAACCACCTTACTTTGTGCATTGAACCTTACTTGTTTGAACTTGCTTCAAGAACAAGTCAGCGCCTAGTGTATGATGGATGTACTTTTGACTTCTCCAAGCTACTAAATCATTGCCTATAAATTGAACTGCATTAACAACTATGAAGGGGGAGAGAGAATTTTAAAATTAGCCTTGAAACCTTGCTGAAATTTCAAAGAACTAGAAACTAAAAGCTTAAACACAAAAACCTGCTAAGCTTCTGTTTCTTTTCACGCCCAAACTCTAATTTTCTTACACATCCCAAATTAGAAACAATCCCAACTTCTTTTTACAGACTGCAATTCTATCTCCACCAACTTCCATTTTAAAAATCAGAACTTTGATTCTTGGTTGTTCTAGAATTTTCCAGCCATTCTTTAGCTCGAGTTAAAGATTTGTTCCAGCCTTTTGAGCACGTGAGAAAGCTGACCAGAATATCATAGCAGCCTGAACCAGACTCTAATTCAGAACAATCTCCAGAAGCAAGGTAAGTTTCTTCTGACTCGTATCTCATTTCTTAGGCATTTCTAGGCCTGCACTTTCAAAGATACAATGTAGATATCATGGCTCTGATTCTGTACATACTCAGATTTCATATATTTTTGCCTAAGTAGAGAGAATCTCAGTTCAGAACTTCTTGAGGAAACTAGGACTAAAAATTAGGATTAGAAAAATTCATGCTTGCTTCTGATTTAGTTCTAATATTTTATACTTCTGAAACCATGATGAAACTTACCATAATTGTTATGTGTGCATTTTTCTTTCTTTTGTTGAGAAATGGCTAAGTTACAGATACTGTAACTGGCGTGGAGATGAAGCTCATCATCAGAACTTACTTTGTGTTATATGTTCATGTTTTTGCCTCTAATACCAGATGTACAACCACTCCAGTAGTAGAAAGCATATGCACAAGACATTAGTACTAAGGGTCCTAGGTTCTAGCCCTAGAAGCATCTCTTTTTAGGTTTATTTATTGACATTTTTCACCCATTTATCTGGCAAACAATATTCCTAAATCAGAACTTCTAAACAACCTTACCCAACAACATTGCCACCTCACTCTCTCCAATGGTCAGAACTTTTGACTTGCCAGTGATATAGGAACTTCTAGGTTCCCAACTACACTATAGCTTATGAATCTCTTCAATAATCAGAACTTCTAGATCTTCCTTTATTCCCAGCAACCTCATAACTTGCTGTACCCATGCCCAGAACTTCTGACCTTCTGCTTGCCTACTAACATTTTCCCTCTTGCAGCGTATCAGAGTCAGAACTTATGTTCCTCCTCGTTTCAGCAATGTGCTGATTCTGACTCCATTTTCTTGTTTATCTTATTTTTTGCTTTTAATAACCAAAAACGCCAAAAATATTTCATATTAACATATTTTATTTCTTTTAGAATAAAAAGGTCAAAATATTTTTCTTAAGTAAATTAATTTCTTAATAAAAACAAAACAAGTCCATTTTAATTTTTGTACAATATTCAATATGATTGTAATAGTTAATTAGATTTAATTTTCTTGCAAAAAACCCCATTTGTGAATTTGTACACCCCCTCCCTTATTGATGTAATAGCTTAGTATTTTACTTTTCTGCATTTTTATTACTTTCATATATTGTTAGTAATTAGGTGTGTATGGCAAGATAAAACCAACCAATAGAAAACCCTAATGCAAGACAAATCAAGCATGAAAAATATACACTCGCACACCTTGCACCTTTAGGGTTAACTTCACTTGTTGCCTTGAGAAATAAATGGTCATGATACGCATGTAAGATATCTTAGCAAAAACAAGCAAAATACAAGACCATAGTCCCTCGACGACGCTATCTATGTTGCCTTTCAAAATGATTTTAGTCCCTAAAGAAAATGCTAAGATATCTTACAATATTGCTAATCATGATTATATGATGATCCACGCCCGTCCCTTTTACATTCAAAGATAGGGTTACTTACCAAACAATGGTAAGATAACAATGTCAAAGGAAAGAGGAAATAAACATGAAAGACTTTTGAGTAGGTAGATTGTTCCTAGTTACTTGCTCCATTTCAAAACAAAAACATCCTTTCTATTTTCAAAAACAAACACCAACACTTTCAAAACATTTTCCAAACTTGAAACATTTTTTAAAGCTCAACACTTTGTATACATTCTTACGAACGAGAATCATTACAAAGTTTTCCTAAACGATGGCGCCTTTTCAAAATACTTTAAAAAACCCACACAAAGCAC